GGATAGCAGGGGGTGAAAACACAACAGGTTTTGATTCCTTATCCATGTTATTTAGCTGAAGGATATGCCTGTGTGGGAAGAAGGTAGGACTGGAGGATTACACAAGAGGGAAAGTCATGCAGAGATATCCTTGAAGACTTTGGACAGAAGCAAACTGAAATGCTTGTTGCCAATGAAAAATACTGATTAATTTGCTTTTTCTTCTTGCTTGACCCAGCTCCAGGCATGTTCTGGTGAGGAGCAAAGTAGTGGTGTCTGTACCTCAAAGACAGAAACGGAATAAAATCCTCACAAATTGTCCACAAAATAATAAATCTTATATCGTTGTCTCTTGTGGTACAGACTAGGTTTCATCATTAACAGGATGATGAAAGGGAGAGAAGCAAGCAACTTGGGCCCTAGACCAAATCTAGTAACTCTTCCAGCCTGTCCTGACTGTGTGGAGCTGTGCAGAAGGTCAAAGATGGGCACGGCTGTAGTCTCCATCTCTCCCCACGGATTGATGTCAGCAGAGGCTGCATTTCTGGTTGTAGCAGATGATTTGAAACCAAGGGTTGATTAAATTGACTAAACATCACTGCTGCTGTGATATTAAATCTCCTTGGACAGCATTGCTTGCTGTTGAATACTTGGAGAAAAGACTTATTTGCTATTTTTTTTCAGGTCTTCAGAAGTAGTTGGGGAAAGGGGAAATGGTAAGGAGAATGCTGGAAGCCTTCCTTAACACAGAGACTCTGCCTCTGGAGGAAGAATGTCTTTTTTTCACAGTTATTTTACAGGATGCTGTGGAAGTAAATGAGCTGGGCAAGCTTGGGAAGTGGGCCTGTGTGAGCAAGGTTCAACAAGACCAAGGGTAAGGTCCTGAGACCTCACCTGGAGTGCTGTTGTCTTATTCTGGAGTTCTCAGCACAAGGACTTGAACCTGTTGGAGCAGGTCCAGAGGACCACCACAAAAATGATCAGAGGGCTGGAACACCTCTTCTGTGAAGAAAGGCAGAGAGAGTTGGGGTGGTTTCTCCTGCAGAAGAAAAGTCTCCAGGGAGACCTTAGTGTGGCCTTTTCATACTTAAACAGGGACCTTTAGAGGTCCCTTCCAACCCACACTGTTCTATGATTCTAAATGGCTAGTTCAGTATCCTCTGAGGGGAAGAAAGCTGCAGTTTTCAGTTGGCAAACTCTTCCTTTACTTCTTAAAGGAAGCACCTTAAAGACTCTGCATCAGTGCTGTTGTATTGTCCCCTACAACATTTCCTCCTTGAAGAGTAGAAGAGTTAATGAGCCATGCTTGTACTTTGAGCAAGAACTGGAAGAGCTGATGAAAAGTGTATAGATTTATTGGGAGAAAAATACAGATATGGGCCATAATTCCCTCCTTGGTTGTCATTTTGCTGCATAGGGCATGCACTACATCTTAAAAATCCTGATGTTTCTTTTTAAACTTTATAGTAGGTTTTAATGTGCTTTTTTTTAAAAAAAATTAATTTATTAGTAACCACTTTTTAGTTAAATACTTATTAACTACTTGCCTTGGTAATAGTCAACAGTACTCTACCAAATAAGTAGGACAGATGGGAAAGACTTCTGTATTTTTATTTACAACCTAATTTTGAGCAAGAAAAGGAAAGGCAAGCTTACAAGAGTTCCAAAAAAAAGATGATTGTTGTGTTTTGTGATTGCCCAGTCTAACAGCTCTATTTTCCTGCATGATTATTTTATTCTGTGGCATGAAGGCATGAACTGCCTGTGTAATTTGAAAGATAAACAGAGGCTATGAGATAGTGGCTTCTATCAAATCCCACACTTAGTGAAGTAGCAGAATAAAGACTGTGAGTAAAGATGCAACTCAGAACAGGACGTTGCCTCCCATTTCCACCACAGGAAGAAAAAAATTAACCTCTGGGCTTACATAGCTGATCTGCCATCTCTCCAAACACACCTCTGTGATGGATTGGTGGGAGCTGGGGTGGACCCAACTCTCTGTAGGAGATACAGGCTGATCTCTGAGATCTCTTAATACCAGAACAGAGTCTGGCTTGTTGAATTCTGTGATTGTAGCTCTGCTTTGGGAGGGGTGGGAAGTTGAACAGTGGAATTTAGCTTAGATTCCTATTAAAAAATGCCCATCAGTCTTTTTACAAGACTCACACATGCTGTTGCTTGCTTACTTTCAAAAAACTGACCAGCAAACCCTCTGAACCTTGGGCACTGGGGTGCTGGGTTCCTTGCCCCTGTCATTGTGTAGATTGCTGCAGGCTTCTCAGAAAGAGGAGGGAATTGAATGGTTGAGTTCCAGCTTTGTCCTTGTTTTGTGTAACCCTGGCTGACCTTGACCTAAGGGCATTGTGACCTCTGTCAGTCAGGTTGATGGGCTTAACTTGTGTTGTGATAAGCTGGAAAGGGACTGTCCTCTCCCATCTGAACTGTGTCTTGTCACTTGCCCATTTTCTTGCATTTCTGACTGTGGGAATTTTCTAGTGCAATAATTGCATTGTAGGAGTTTGTTTTCCTTTGATTAACTTTCTGTAACACTCAGCTCTTTTAAAACAGGAAGGGGGAGCTGGGAAGTGCTGTCACCATGAAAAACACACCGAGAGTCATTTCTTCTGTAAACAAGGCAATGGTCCTGTTTACTAAACCAGCTTAGAAAGTCTTCACTAAAAACACCAACTTTCTTGACTTCAGAACTTTCTCTTCAAAGCACTGAATGAAATCAGGCACTGGGGGGTTGGACAGTGTGAGGACACATGTAATTAAAGACCATTTCATGTTCCTAAGGGCTGCTAGGTGTGCACCCTGAATGATGCTACATTCTCATGTGTGTGCCAGGCTGAATGTCCTACATAAGATACTACAAGTTGTTACACATTCCTTGTGATCTTGTTTGAAGAACGAGGCTGACTTTTATTCTCATGTTTTAATGAATTTTTTGCAGGCTGTATGAACATCTTTGTAAATATTTTACAAAGAGCATTTTTTTTTTTCATCTGAATAATACTGTTATATTTTTGTTGTTAAAAGACCCTTTCTGGACAGCTTTGCCTTGTTTTCTCTCTGTTTTGCAGCTTGGTCTGACTCTTCAGCAAGGTTCTCATATAAAACAGTCAGCAAAATCAGAAAATTAATCAGTTGTAAATTTAAAAACTTTATCAGAGAAGTTGGTTCATTATGTTCTGTTGTTTAACTGAATTTTGCATTGCTTCAGTTAAAGAGTAAGAAGTAAACAGATGATTTTAGCAAACTTTTGCAAAGCAAGAGGCAGTAAAAATATTGACAATATTGAAAAGGGGGAAAAAAATAAACCCAAAAGCACAGCATCTTTTTCAAGTAAATCACAGAATCATTTAGATTGGAGGAGACCTTTAAGATCATCAAGTCCTACCATTAACCCAGCACTGCCAAGTCCACTGCACCACTGTCCCTGGTGCCTCTACAGGTCTTTTCAATACCTCCAGAGGCAGTGACTCCACAACTTTCCTGGGCAGTCTGTTCCATTGCTTGACAAACCTTTCAGTGAAAAAATTTTTCCTAATATCCAACTTAAACTCCCCTGGCACAACTTGAAGCCATTTCCTCTTGGTGTATCACTTGTTACTTGTGAGAGGAGACCAGCACCCACCTCTCCACAACTTCCTTTTGGGTAGCTGTATAGACCAATAAGGTCTCCCCTGAGGCTCCTTTTCTCCAGTGCCAAGTGCAGGGGGACAAGCACTTTTCTGGACCTGCTGCCCACACTATTTCTGATGTACACCAGGATGCCATTGGCCTTCTTGGCTACCTGGGCATACTTCTGGCTCATGGTCAGGTGGCTGTTCAGCAACACCCCCAGGTCCTTTTCCCCTGGGTCTTCCCCAGCCTGTAGCATTGTGTAGGGTTATCTTGGCCCAAGTCAAGGGCTTGACACTTGACCTTGTTGAAGCTCATATAGTTGGCCTGGGCCCATCAATCCAGCCTGTCCACATCCCCCTGTAGACCATTCCTACCCTCAAGCAGCTCAATGCTCTTGCCTGACTTGGTGTCATATGCAGACTGGCTGAGGGTGCCCTCCATCCCCTTGTCCAATTTGTTAGTAAAGCTACTAAATTGAATTGTCCCCAGTACTGAGCCCTGGGGAACACCACTTGTGACTGGCCAACTGGATTTATCTCCATTCACCACCACTCTTTGGGCCTGGCCATCCAGCCCTTTTTTTATCTAGCATACACCCATCCAAACCATGAGCAGCCAGTTTCTCGAGGAGAATGCTGTGGGAAGTGGTGTCAAAAGCTTTACTAAAGTCTAGGTAGAAAAAATTTACAGCCTTTCCTTCATCCACTAAGTGGGCCAGGTCATAGAAGGAGATCAGGTTAGTCAAGCAGGACCTGCCATTCCTAAGCTCATGCTGTCTGGGTCTGATCACCTGGTTGTCCTGTATGTGCCATGTGATGGCACTAAGGAAGATGAGCTAATTGCTCTTAATGACACTGGACTAAACCCAGCAGGTGAGTTTTCTTGTCGTGTTCTTGCAGTTTTAGGAAAAGCCTCCTAGAAAATTTTTGCAAAATCTTTGTGTTTGCTCTAGAAGTTGAGTGTGACTGTCAAAATGAGCAGTGACTCTTCAGGAAGACTCAAGGGAGTTGGAACTCTAAGGGAGAGGCAGTGTTACTTCCCAGTGAGGGATGAAAGGTTGAAATTGTGACAGCTGTAATCTAGGAGTATTTTCTTCAGCTCACAGCAGGACAGCCTGGAGGATAGCCTTAAGGTTGATAGATGATAGCTTGTTCACTGCATGGCTTTTTCCTGGTAGGTGCTGTTATAAAACCCCACCTCTGATCCCTACAGTTAAACCCTTGTGAAGAATGAGGGGGAGATAAATAACAAAGTGGTGGCTTGTTGCACTCAAGTCCTTGTAGCAAATAGTTCACTGTTAGGTATCTCTTCAGGGGTGAAGCTATGTGAGTGCCTGTAGTTTGCTCCTCAATTTCTAATACCAAAATGCAGCTCTCTCCAGTAGTTTCTTGGCCTTTAATACAAGGTATGATGTTAAGATGGTGCTAGTATGAGGCATATTGCTGTAAATCACTTGGACTATCTCTCCCTTGAGTTTTATTGCCTTGGGGCTGTTCAGCCCAGGTTTAAGATAACAGGACTTTAAACCTTCTAAGCAACATAGAATTAAAAAAAAATCACATAGATAAACAAAAAAACCCCAAACACTCAACCAACCTCAGTAAAGTCAAAGGCCTTGCTCTTAGAAAATGCAGCAGTGTGTTTGGGTAGGGCTTGGTTCTGCTGGACAGCTGTTTGCTACTTTCACTTTAAAATCTAGATATGAGGGTAGGTGTTGATGCATTCTGTGCATGGAACCTGCTTACCATCACAGGGGGAGCAGTGAAAATCAGAGAAGGGTACAGCTCTGGAGTAAATTTCCACAGTAACTTGTGGTCAGAATGGCTATTTTGGACTTTTCACAAGGTGAAGCAACAAGGGTTCATTCATGCCTGCTGAAAGGGCAGCTCAGTGTTAGGCATGAGCAGGGCAGGATTTGCTTTTCCTCCAGCATGTCTTGCCAGATACACGAGCTTCTGACATTTCTCTGGTTTTCCTTTACTAGATGATGTGTTGAGGTACAAGCTCTCTTTGAAAAATGAACACTTTCTCTGCTGTTTCTCCATAACTTAGTGAGTTCCACAGATTGGGTCCTAACTTCTCCCTCTGAGATGTGTGAATATAGCATTCTATCATTTGAGCAGTGAAGTCTGGCCTGTGGCAGGAGCTGGAGAATGCAGGACATAAAGGGCATGTGCAGCTTTAAATGTACAAAACCAGACTTGAAGAATATTTGGTGATCCTAAAAAAAAAAAAAATAAAACCAGTAGTTTTTGACAGCTTGTACCCTGTTCTGCTCCATCAGCCTATCTGCCTCCTGCAAAGTGCCAGTGCTTGTTTAACTGTGTAATTATGGAAACTGGTAGTGGGTGGTGCAAGAGAGAGAAGAACAGGTCAACTGTTGACCCAGGAGACTGGTTTCTTTGGCATGCCAGTGATCAGAAAGGGGCTCCTACACAGACATGCTTCTGGAAGAGCCCACCTTCCTCTTGTGTCTTTGGAGAGAACCTAGAGTGAGTTTCTCTTGGGGCTTCTGTGCAGAGTTTGCCTGTGTGGTAGGGGCAAAGCAGCATTCAGTGCCTGCCACTGGGACTTTGAGAAATCAAACCAGAGTGATTCTCCCCACCAGATTTGTGATGGTGGTGAACAACTGTAATAATTTCCTTTCTTAGCTGCCCAGATGCTTTTAAAAGGTTCATGTTAACAGCATGATTGGGATTAAATTTCTTGTGTTGCTCTTCTCTCATTTCAGGTCTACCAGTCATGAAACGAATTCTTCTGTTTTTTATCCTGGCTGCTGCTGTTATGTATGGCATACTGCATGGAAATCTGTGGAGAAACAACCTCTACTGGTATGCTGATGCTTTGTTCACTTGTAGTGCCAACACCCTCATGGCTGTGAGGTGCTCTGTTGCTGCACATCTGTGTGCTAGTAATCAACAGGAGTCATTACTACTCTGTGTGTGTGCTCATTTGGTGGCTGGTTGGGTTTTTTGTACTGTGAGGGGGTGAATGTGATTGTTCTGTCATTGTGCCCCTTTTCTCATGTCACATTTTAAACCTAGTAGTTGATTTGAACTTGGTTTTATGGAGAGGCTGGGACCTTACAGACAGGGAGCTCCTCTGAGTTTCATGGAAATAGATGCTCAGGTGAGGAGAGGTAGCTTGTATCATGTGTCCATGTCTGCTCCCATGTGTATTTAGTGTTGGCTTCTTCCTTCAGACTTCTCAGAAGTGATGTGGGAAAGATCTGCTCCACGCATGGGGATAACTTCAGGTGTAGTGGGCACCTTTTTAAAAGCTGAAATTTGTTGAGTCCCAGTGGCACCCCTCTGGGAAATAAGCCTTCACTGTTTCCAGGCTGCATGGGACAGGTGGCTTGGGACCTGAAATTTGGGGTGCTTGTTGAAGAAGTGGAGTTTCCCTTGGCCTCTGCACAGCCATGACTGGGACTGACCAGTGTGTTTGTGTTATGGAGATAATAGTGAGAGCTTTTAAAAGTAGTGGTTGCCTCTATTTGTCTTGTTTATAGCCTACAGTTGATAGAAATGGTTTTTTTTGTGGTTTCTGTTTGCAGCAAACCACAGTGTTGTGACATTTCCCTTTTTGCAGGATTAGCTTTTATGGACAGACTTCCTCTGTGAGGGCTCCTCCTTCTTACGAGACTGGTGGAGTCACCCAGTAAGTTCAGCTGTTGAATACTTTTGTGGTGGGGTTTCCTTGGTTGGTTTTTGGGCAGGTGGGAGGAATCGAGACTAAAATCTGCCAACTTTGTCCCTAGGCTCCCTGTTCAGTTGGTTCTTGTACATCTGTGTCTGTTATGAACACAACTGTAACATGTCTGGCAGAAAGGAATGTGTCCATGTCCTGTTCCCAGTGTTTGGTTCATATTTATGGTCACTTGCAGTGACTGTTACAAGCACTGAATTGTTGGAAGGACATTTGTTTACGACTTCCAAATTTCTGCAATTCTGACTTGAGTAAAACTAGCAGAGCTACAAAGGCAACTTTTGGGCTTAAAATGTAATAAATGAGAGGTGTGGTTCACTTGTGAAGTGGAAGTGTGTGTATAAGCAGATCTTGTGTTAATAAATTCCTGCAATTAGGTTTGTGAGACTAATGAGGGCCTATGCCTAAAACTTCAAAGCAGGCCTCTGTCCTCTCCAAAGCCCTCCTGCAAAATGCCACCTTTGAGGCTGCTGCTGGAAAGCAACAAGCTGGCCAGCTGATACATTTCACAGGCTGCTTTCTCAGTGTCAGGATTCACATGACAACTTGAGGTTACCAAAAGCAATTAACCTCAATGGTCTGTTTGGCTTGTGGTTCTAATGTGGTGGTTTCATCCTTCTGTTCTTAATGCAGCCCAGATGCACACACTGCTCACAATGAACTTTACCCTCCCTTCTTGGCTTCATATTTGTTATTAATTGGGCTAAATCACCAAGGGAAGAATGTGTTTAGAAGTGTAGGTCTTAGCCTCGTTATGAGAGGAATACTTATCCCTAAAGAACCTCATTTTCCTTGAAGTTCCCTATGTGGTGCTGCCTATTCCCCTCCCCTCTCCTCTCTGAGGAGTGCAGGTGCTGCTCTCTGCTATGGCTGCAGGGGTGATTCAGCTCAGATGTCCTGCTTCTCTGCAGATGGGCCTGAGGGCTCTCCTCTGGTTATGGCTGTTTTGGGGAAGCTGCAGACCTCTTGGAGCAGCCTTGGCTGGTAAAAGGAATCACAGCACCATGAGAGAGATTCATCCTTATAACAGAGGGAGGCAATCATGAAGATTTGGTGTGGCCTTAACTCAGGAATCATATTTTACTAGTTGAGCTTGTCCAAGCTTATAACTGCTGCTCATTCCTGTTCTTGCTATTTCTTTGACATCCTTCTTCTGCAGGCTGCCACCTACAGCTGTGGAGAGAAGGAATGCACTGGACACTTGTCTCCTGAAACCAGCATTTGAATCTTTACTGGGGTGAGTCTTCAGTGGGAAGTGACAGAGGGAAGGAAAGGCTCTGCTGATAGAAATGGACTGTTTATATATTCTGGACCATTTCATCTTTAGATTCATCTCTGGAAGTAGAGCTATTAGGCTTGGGTTCATTGCTGCTTTTCCTGGTTGTAGCAATGGGAATTGTTTAGCTTGCCACTGATCAGCATCTGAGCAATACCACACAACTAGCTCAACATGTGTATCTACTGAATGAATAAATACTTCCTGTTCAGATATTGGAGCTAGTAACAGTGAAACTATTTTAACTAATGAAATACAAGCCTTAATTTCTGCCCCCTCTACTTCTCTTGTAAAAGAAGCCTTCATGTCCAACTCTGAAACTCAGTCATTCTGCTATTAAGAATTAAACATTTTTCCCTATAGTAGAATTTTAACAGAATTCAATTTTAATGAAATTTGGGATGATTCATGGTTTTGTTCCTCTGTAGTATTGTTAAATTTTGTGTAGATGTCCTCCACTTTAAGGTACTCATAGGAAGCTTCCATTATAAAGAAGCAATCAGATGAAAAGAAAGAGCTTCAACCCAAAACAAAGGATGTGTCTGCTTACAAAAATGTATTGGAGAGGTCTGTGAGGAAATACTGCAAGTTTTTGTTCTTACAAGCACAAGTCTTCAGTGAGAGATGAGGGAAATGCTACAGGACCAGAGGCATACTGGTTATGCTGTTGGCTTGAGCAAACCTTGAGTATGGCCCTGAGAAAGCTTGGAAAGATATTTAGAGAAAGTCCTGGCTGGAGGAGTCTTAAAGCTCTGAGCAAAGACACCATTGCTGCTTCATTTTGGTCCTTTTTGTGTGCAAGAAAACATGGCTTTAAACATGGAAGGATCTTAAGCTTGTCTTCTCCAAAGCAATGCTGTAGCCTGAGTTTTGGTTAGCTGCCTGGCTCAGTCCTGGGTCCCTTGCCCATGGAGTGTGCCCAGGCTGTGTGTGTGTCAGGTACAGCAGGACAGCCAGAAGAAGGTGGGTGCAGAACTACAACAGAGTCTCTTGCCTATGTCTATAGCTCCTTTACAGAAATAGTTGGTGCAAGCTGAAGATCTGGTCTGTGCACTTTGGTAATAGCCTGGGGAGGTTGAAAGGATTTCTAACCTGGCAGAATTATTTATTGGAAAGGAACCAGAGCTAGAATTAAGAATCTCTTTGCAGTAGGTAAATTATTTATTATGTCTAAGCTTACCAGCTGCTTTGGAACAGCAAGTTATTAAAGTTAATATGGGTGTTTAGTGCATGATGTCTAAATCTAATCATGTTAGTTGGCCTTGCTTAGTTACCCTGTGGCCCAGCTCTTGGTGTGTGAGCTGTGGTGTTTGGGGTTTTTTGTGGATTTTTTTTGTTTTGTTTGCTTGGGTTGTGGGGGTTTTTTTCCTCCTTTTTACTGTTAGTGTCTTCTGACTGTAGAGTGTAAAGGGTGAGATACTTGATTTGTGAAACTGAGAGGGTTTTTTTTTTAAAGAACTATTAATATTCATAATGGAGAAACAAGTCATGTGCTGTTTGTGATCCACACTAGGTTTTCTCACTGGGACTGTACACTTCTGTGTTAATGTTTTAATATAAGACCCAGTGTGCAGGATTGGTATGAAGTCAGCCAGTTGAGTGAGTGTGTGCCCACTTAACTCTAAGGTGAAGCCAAGGACATGCTAACATGTGACAGGACTGGGTCTGCTGTTCATATATTTATTACCATCTCTGCCAAGTCAAGGGCCAACAGACCCCTCCCTGCTCTGAGATAACCCTTGTCTGTGGTCACTGTCTCCTGAAGAAAGAAGTGACCCATTCATTCTATCCCATAAGACAGACTCCTATGAGTCTTCTGCTGACTGCTTGCCCAATGTAGAATGATATTATCATTAACAGCCAGACTCCTCCCTCTGCTCCCACATCACACCAGTCAAAACCCAGTCAGGAGGGGCTTTCTTGCCTAGTTGTGGCCATCATCCACCTACCTACCCTCATTCAGGGCTGGAGGTTTAAACCCCAGCACTTCAATAAGGTCTGATGCCTTCATGGGCTGGGTTGCAGGACTGTGATTTTGAGACAAACCTCCTTGTGAGCCCCACGTGCCATGCTGCTTATCACAGGGTGGCCCTGGTGCATGTGCACTGGGCTTCTTGCAGACATCTGATTTCTGGCTGAGCAAGAAGAGGCACTGCAGGAGCACACCCAATGTGCTGCAGCTCCTAAGGAGTGTTCAATCTGTGGGACCCTACTAGAGGGGGTTCAGAGTAAATCCAAACAGACAGACAAAACCCTCTACCTAATAATAATAATAATAATAAACCCACAAAAACCCCAGCTGAGATGTGTGTAATGTGAACATGAGAACCATACTCCACAGCTTTTAGCTGTGTGGATATATCCCTGTTGCCCCAAACTACTTACTAATGATAACAGAGCCAGAAAGTGTCACTTGTTTGGAATGGTAAGCTGCTGTCTGCAGGAGGTGGTATTTTCAAGTTAAAATGACTTATTTCAAATCCTATTCTTATTTATTAAATTGCCATGCATAATAATAAATCTTAATTTTTCTTGCTGTTTTTGTTAGGTGCTTTTCAAACATGAAGTTTATTCACTGTCTTCCTGGGTTGTGCATTCTTTTAAATATACTGTCTTATAAGCTTTCAAGGATGTGATTTTAATTACTATATAGTTATACTAGCAGAAAAATAATTTTATCTTACTTTCTAGCTATATTTTACAGTTTAAGATCTTCCCTTTTTCTTCATCTGCTTTCATTCCCTGTGTTCATGAATTCTCTTCTTTTAAAAATCAGTGATACTTGAAGTAGGATAAAGAAAGCTTTTCTTTTAAAAAGCAATTGCATTAATTATTTCCTTATTCAAATCATGTGGATTTTTGAAACTTCTGGGTTTTTTTCTTCATTAGTGTTGACAAAATATACCCGTTCCTGTGTGCTAATGATTTCATCAGAGTGGCAGAGTTCCACGGGAGCGATAAATTTGAACTACCTTATGGAATAAAGAGAGCAGGTTTGTGTTCCAAATCTTTGTTTTTAAGCAGAAATGCATAAACTTTGTGCAAACCCACCTAAATATCTTCCCCTGGACTTTCCTGCTCATGCCAGTCCTTGTAGGGGCACCTAGCAGTGACTTAAAGGTTTTATTTAGCCCCTCTGAGCTGGCACCTTCCTGTTTTTAACAATCAAAGCACCCTCTTGGGGCTGCCCCTCTTGGCAGAGAAGCTCCAAAAAGGTGGGCGTGAGGAATAGTGGAGCTTATTCAGTTTCCTTTCATTTGTGTGTGGTCTGGAGAACTAAAAATATTTAGCTGCTGCTTTGCTGGGTGAAATATTACCTGGGTCAGCATGATGGGGTTTGATCAACACACCTAAGGAGACTGAGATCCAGAGCCCTGCTCAGGCAGAAGTCCCCAGGCTGGGGCAAGCTAAATCCTGCAAAATTCTCCTTTTAATGAGCTTCTCCCAGCAGGGAAGCTGTGTCACTGGGGCTGCAGGGAGGACTCCTACTG